CTTAATTAAGCTAGAGTTGTTTTGCTGCTTACAGTGTCCCTTTAAGGGTTAAGTATGATGAGCACTGACTATTGTGAGCCATAAAGGGTTGGTGTACATTGCTAAGACTTAAAGGACCACTCTAGGCACCCAGACCACTTCAGCTTAATGAAGTGGTCTGGGTGCCAGGTCCTTCTAGGGTTAACCCATTTTTTCATAATTATAGCAGTTTCAGAGAAACTGCTATAATTATGAATGGGTTAAGCCTTCCCCCTAATCCTCTAGTGGCTGTCTCATTGACAGCCACTAGAGGCGCTTGCGTGCTTCTCACTGTGATTTTCACAGTGAGAGCACGCCAGCGTCCATAGGAAAGCATTGTAAATGCTTTCCTATGAGACCGGCTGAATGCGCGCGCAGCTCTTGCCGCGCGTGCGCATTCAGCCGGCGGGGCGGATCGGAGGCGGAGAGAAGGAGGAGAGCTCTCTGCCCAGCGCTGGAAAAAGGTAAGTTTTTACCCCTTTCCCCCTTCCAGAGCCGGGCGGGAGGGGGACCCTGAGGGTGGGGGCACCCTCAGGGCACTATAGTGCCAGGAAAACGAGTATGTTTTCCTGGCACTATAGTGGTCCTTTAATGTATTTGGTTTGGTAGAACAGACAAATTAAAGATATCTGTTTTATGATTTAAGTTGCTTCCCTGTATCTCATTATACCCGGAGTGGAAAAGGATTGCTCTGAGTGCACCTTTGCCCACGAGCCCTTCTAAAACACAAGTAGCCTAGTTGGAGCTGTACTGTACAGGTGAGCTGTATGTAACAGAAACAAAGAAGCAAAAATTCACACACTGAATATAATGCAGATTGGAGATAAAGACGCAGGCACCAAAGCATCCAGTGGTATGGAACAATGTAACCAGAGGGAGTCCACTAAATATCTCAAGTAACAGAAATAAATTGTGACTTCAAATAATAATAAATACCGAACTAGACTTATAAGGCTAAGAAAGAAACACAGCACTGGTTAGGAATGGAACAAATCCATCCGCCAGGTTGTGATGGTTGAGAGATACAATGGGGCTTAATAAAGAGTTTTTCGTTTTTTGCTCTCTGCGCTCCACCTTTATATTTATAATTGCAGAGTAGCTTTTTTCATATAAGGATACAAGGTCTTTTTGGGAGGCAGATTGTTTATAATCTGCAACCCATTAGTCCTATTCTCTTTGTACTTCTAGGGGTTAGGCCCCATTGTATCTCTCAACCATCACAACCTGGCGGATGGATTTGTTCCATTCATAACCAGTGCTGTGTTTCTGTCTAATTTCAGTTTTAGGTTTTAATACCTAGGTTGTCTTCCTGTATTGACTATATTTTGTACTAGCCATGGCAGGTTTCCTTGCCAACAAACCAGATAGCTCCATGTGGTGTAAGGATGCAGATAAGGTTTTTTCTAATGAACAACTTGAAAATACTGATACCCCGTCTGACATTAATCAATGTTTCAATAAACGTAATAAAGCATACAGACAGCAAATTAGGGCCAGCTGGGAGATTTCTTCTCTTGATTTTTATCTAAAGAAAAATATGATTCCTAGAGGCCTTAGAGTACACACTATTCCCTCCTCCCATGCTGAGAACCCTGAAATGGCTAAAGAATGGGAACTAGCAGCCGGCCTTTGCTCAAACACATTTATGCAAATTATCTGTAAATGTGAAAAAATAAAACTTCAAGAAACGGATAAACAACTTGAGTCCGAGTTAACTAACATTAATCAATTCCAATCTGATCCTTCGTTTAATCAATTGGAATTAAAATTAAAACAAAATCTAGACAAATACCAGCATTCAATTAAAACTAGAAAACATCAGAAGTTCATTAGGGACTTGAAGGACTACGAAACTGGTAATGTCTATAGTACTTTTAAACGTCGTACTAGAACTAATTCTGATAATGCGTTAACTTCAGATTATGATTCATCTGATAACGATTCAGAGAATAGGCAACGGTCGCTACAGATATGTCCACCAAATTCTGATCCCAGTACACCTAACCACGGTAATTCCAGGGGTATCCTAAAGAAGGGGGTGAATTTTTTAGAAATGGGCCATCTGGACGACCCATTACCACACCAATTACCATACCACACTCACAACAGGGGTCGTGGGAGAAGTGCAATAAGGAGAAGGCGATTCTAAATAATAGTTTACAAATAATCAACCTTTCATCTCATCTCCTCACTACTCAAGAAACAAATGTGCTCTCAAAGGGCCTCTCTTTTGTGCCGGTTCCGCCCTTTAACAGATTTATATGGGTTAAAGACCTACATTTATTTGTTAGAAAGTTAGCCTTGTGTAAATATCATCAAATCAGAACTGACAAAAAGCTAAAAGATTTGGGTCTCATTGACAAAGACTATGACTGTCTTATGACTTTAATATCTCTCCTGGATGAGAGCGACACAAATACCACGTTACAACAAACAAACTTAAAACCTCAAAGTCGCTTTACACCTAATCTGGGGAATTTTAAGAATACTGAATTCTTTTTAGAGTCAGTCAAATTTGCAATAGAGAACATCAATCATAAGGATTTGAATTTCTTTCCCAATATGAATCTTACAAAATCTGAGAACAAAGCCCTCCAGTCTTTAAAACTGGATACCACAATTACGATCAAACAAGCTGACAAGGGAGGGAATATAGTTTTGAATTCAGCAGACTATATAAAAATGACTCTCAAGATTCTTGACGATAGAGATACGTACCATCTTCTCAGAACAGACCCCACCAATACATTCTTACAGGACTACAAAGCAATTTTGGACATGGGCCGCAGTAGAGGGGTGCTATCCAGAGATGAATATGATTTCATCCTGAATAAATTCCCCAGGATAGCTACCTTCTACTGCCTGCCCAAAGTCCATAAAAGCCAGATTAATCCCCCTGTGCGCCCCATAGTTTCGGGTGTTGACAACCTTACCCAAAATGGTAGTATTTATCTGGATAAGGTTCTCCGCCCATTTGTGGAATTGTTACCTTCTTTCATTCAGGACACCAAGCAAACGTTGGTTCGTCTATCAAGTCTAACAGTGCCTGAATCAGTGGCACTCTGTAGTCTTGACGTTGAAGCATTATACTCATCTATACCACACAAGGGGGGCATTCAACATGTTAAATTTTACCTGGACAAAAGGGGTCCTGACTTTAATGATCACTCTAACTTTGTCTTGGAACTTCTTAAGTTTATCCTCTGCCACAACTACTTCCTCTTCAATGAAAAATTCTAGCATCAGGTACAGGGCACTGCGATGGGGACGGCTTGTGCCCCATCGTATGCCAATCTCCACCTAGGTTGGTGGGAGGAAGTAGTTGTGGCATCTGATGTTTTTTCATCATACAGGCCTTTTATTCATCATTGGGCCCGTTATATTGATGATATTTTGATCTTGTGGACAGGTAGTAGAGAACTTTTTGATGAATTTGTATCCCTACTCAATATCAATGAGTTTAACCTACATTTTACTTCGGAGTTCGGGGGCAATACACTTAATTTCTTGGACCTTACGATCATGGTCAGTGGTAATTCCATCACCACTACGCTGTATAAAAAGCCCACATCTTCTAACAGTCTCCTTCGTTGGGAGAGTTTTCATCCCCAATCTCTTAAACGTGGCATTCCGATGGGGCAATATCTTAGAGCCCGTAGGAACTGCAGCGATGTTGAGGATTTTAAGCTTCAAGCTAACATATTGCGACAACAGTTCAAAATGAAGGGCTATCCTAATAAATGCCTAAAAAAAGCCTATAGAAGGGCCTTAGAGGCAGACAGAGACACTCTACTATCCCCAAAAATAGTGGATACCTCCATCAAACCTCAAGCCCCACGGATGATAGCCACTTACGATTCAGGCTGGGAGGCTGTTAAGTTTGAGATCCAAAAATTCTGGCCGTGTCTGCTGGATGATGTCCATCTTAAAAGGCTCTTGGGGCCAAATGTGGATATGACGGCACGTAGAGGCAAAAACCTTAGGAACCTTAGTCCCAAGCCATTTCCATCGTTCACCCACAAGCACCTGGCTACACACCCCTACAGTGGGATCTGAAAGACTTCCATGCGGGCAATCCGCAGGGACTCCGGTTCTGTGGATTGGAATTGGTGTGCAAGGATAAACGTAGGGGTAACTATGACAGATTTCTGAGACAACGGGAAAGCCTCTGGATTTATCAACTTAGAACACTTTACCCAAAAGGTCTCATTGAAGGTTTTTCTTTTGCCCCCTTCATTTAAAAATGTAAAAATTTAAAAACTTTAAAAACTGTAATGTTTTGATAAACTGTCCATCATTAATATCTATTTCCACCACTACCTACTACTTTTCAGTTTTGTGACTTATTAGTTATTTCCACTAACATTACATGATATGTGAATATGGATATATTATACTACTTCACTTTCCATTCATTTATTTATTCATTCTTTCATTTTTTTCAATCTCCATCTCTCCTTTCATTTTACCATTAATGGAGTACTTTTCAATTTGCTATTTAAGTCAATAAAGGATTTCTACTTTAACGAATTCTCTTTGAATCAATATTTATTCTCCCTCTTTATTTTTTGAGTTTACTTTATTTTCTATTTTAACCACACTGTGGGGCTTATGTTTCTATGCCCCAATTTATTCGATTCATATAAGTTTGAATATCCCTCTAATGTTGTTTTTTCTCTGGGCTCATTTTATTTACTACATGATAGTTTATTAAGACATACAAAGTCACACATGGTGTTCAATTATTACATCTTTACTATATGTGATGAGTTTTACACTGTGTGACATACTCATACATGTAGTGCCACTGTTGTGATATTTATCATGATTACTAGGGAATTGTTCCCTAAATGGGCTCCATTTGTTTTACCCTGCAGCGTTATGTTCATCTATACGCTACTTTCGCCAGCTCTTCTGTTTAGCTATATTTACATTTTACATTTTGTGCCTTCACTCTATGAAGATAGAAGATATGTGCTAGCTTCCATTTATATTTTGGTTATGTGAGGGTTAAATCTACAATTAGCTTCACTCCTGTTGAGCTTGGTACTTTTCTCCGCCCCCTAATTCCTGATTGGATAACAATGGTTACATCATGCTTACGGGTGGAGCTTTAAACACATTTAAAAAGAGGCTCCCTTCAGTCTGCAAATTGCTCTTGATAAAGGTGACTTGTTTCGCCGAAACGCGCGTTGGGCACTTTACTAAAGCGGATGATGATTTTAATTTAGGATTCTATTTTGTTTTCAGACTGTCCTATCATTTATTTATGGTGGGATTAGATACTAGTCTATTACCAGCATGATATTAGGGACTCCTTCCCCCAAATCTCCTACAGCTGTTTAGGCAGTTTGCTTTACACTTATATTGCTGGCTACTTAGACTGCAGCCTTTTTCCTGCAATGTTGCAAATGTATTTTGGTAGATCTTTGTGCACATATTTTTTGTGCATTTGATATACTCTTTGTTCTAATTATAGAGTCTATTTACTTTTGTATTTAGAGATCTTCAGTTTGCTACATTTAATGTATCTCCCCCCTTTTGGTCATAGTTATTTGCTACTATTTATGGCAATTCTGCCACACACATGGTGGGATTAGATACTTGTCTATTCCCAGCAAGATATTAGGGACTCCTTCCCCCAAATCTCCTACAGCTGTATAGCCAGTTTGTTTAACATTTATATTGCTGGCTATTCAGACTGCAGGCTTTTTTCCTGCAATGTTGCAAACGTATTTTGGTAGATCTTTTGCACATATATATTCTTTTGTGAACCTGATATACTCTTTGTTCCAATTATAGAGTTTATTTACTTTTGCATTTAAAGATCTTCAGTTTGCTACATTTAGTGTATCTCCCCCCTTTTTGGTCACTTTGCTACTATTTATGGCAATTCTGCCACAAACATACTTATAGCATTTCTTCTGACCATATTACTATTATTTTTGGACTAGTCTATTTAATCTAATTAGATCCTAATTTTATTACTTGTTTGTTTAGTATCTGTGTGTTTCTCCCCCAAGAGGGATTAATAAAGAGTTTTTCGCTCTCTGCGCTCCACTTTTATATTTATAATTGCAGAGTAGCTTTTTTCATATAAGGATACAAGGTCTTTTTGGGAGGCAGATTGTTTATAATCTGCAACCCATTAGTCCTATTCTCTTTAGACTTATAAGGCTACTCCCATGCCAAGTAAGTGAGGAGATAAAATTACTAAACACCTAATTCTGCAATATTCATATAGGCTTTATTAGTCCTGGCCCTTTAATGCATAGGGTGTTCGTAAATCTCCCCTTAGTACCCAAGAACCAAAAAAAAAGGTGCTAAAGGGAGAAAGGTCACTGGCTAAAAGATTGGCAGCCCTAATAATCAAAAGTAGACAGATGGATAAAGTAAAATAAAGAAAGCCTGTCTCCTTGGGGGACTTACTAGATAGGCATAGAAGACAAAAATGTAAATCATAAATCCTAACAAACTCCCATGCCTCAGTAAGTGAGGAGATGAAGTGCTAAACACCCAAATCTGAAATATACATAGAGGCTTAATGAGTCCTGGCCTTTTAATGCATAGGGTGTTAGTAGATCTCCCCTTAATTCCTGAGCACCGGTAAAAATGCTAAAGGGAGAAAGGTTACTGTCTAGAGGATCAGCAGCGCTAATGATCAAAAGCAGGACAGATAAGGTAAAGTAGAGAAAGCCTCTCTCCCTGTTAAACTTACTAAATAGGCATAGAGGAAAAACATTGACAGGAAAAACTTAAATCATAACAAAAACGTGTATCACACAGTGCAGTGCCCATGGTGTGCAAGTGAGCTGTATGTAGCAGAACAGGAGTTGGCCAGCAATGTACTCGCTGACATTTGAATGCGTGCCACCCTGCCCCAGGTGAATAGCATGCTTGTCCTTTGCAGGGTAAGTAGTTTAGTAGACCTTCCCTTAATTTAATTACAATAATTGTAAGCACCGCACAATATTAGGTTATAATGAGCGCAGGGTGTGGGTTTTGTATGTCCCAGTTACTGTATTGGTACAGGGTCCCTTTAAACCAACTTGGAGTTTTTCCACTTTATCTAAATTATGGTCCACTAAGTTGTGCAATCCATTTTTCACCTCTGTAGGAAGAAAACAAATAAATTCACACTTTACTTGGTAACACATTATCAATCTACAGGTGGCTCTCACTCGGCAAAGCGCACACAAGGCTTTCTTGTCTTTCCTACCCTGGCTCTGGTCACATTAGCAAACACAACAAATCCATATTTCCAGTCGAAAAAAATAAAAAGAATTTGACAAATGTATTGCAATTATAAATTAACCTCAGCATTGCGCTGTGTGAAATAGCTCATTTGAGACTGCATCAAAACACACAGATCTAATTGCTGTAGGCATCCAGGAGATCTTTAATACTTCATTCTAGCTGGTTATATATGAATCACATTTCTAACCTTCTATAACTTAGAACCTATAATTAAAGCGAGAGACATAAATCAGAAGTGAGATCTCTGCAGAATGTTATGCGTTTGGGAGGAAAACAAAAATTCTAAATTGTAGAAGCACTATCCTCTCCTTCTGCTGTGTTTATCTATTTTAAAAAATGTACAAGACTTTTTTCTATCATCTAGTTATAAAAGTATTAATTAATTGTGTTTATTTTGACTCTGTATTTAAAGGAGCACTATAGGGCCAGGAACACAAACATGTATTCCTAAACCCTATAGGGTTAAAACCACCATCTAGCCACCTTGGGCCCCTCGTTCCTCCCTAAATATAGTAAAATATTACTTGTGATTAAGTCTGGAGCTGCTTATTTTGTCACTGTTTCCTTTAGACCTGCCCACTGCCTGCTGACATCATCAGAAGTGGTAGCCTGATCCAATCACAATGCTTCCCCATAGGATTGGCTGAGACTGACATCCCTGGCCAATCAGCATCTCCTCATAGAGATGAATTAAATCCATGAATCTCTATGAGGAAAGTTCAGTGTCTGCATGCAGAGGGAGGAGAAACTGAATGTTTGGATGCATTTTAGGCAGCCATGACCCAGGAAGGATCTCTAACAGCTATCTGAGGAGTGGCCAGTGAAGTTATTATGTAAACACTGCATTTTCTCTGAAAAGTGTTTACAGCAAAAAGCCTGAAGGTAATGATTCTACTCACAGAACAAATTCAAGAAGCTGTAGTTCTGCTTACTATAGTGTCCCTTTAAAAATTTGAATCTCGTAGAAGAAGATAATTGTGCAAGAAAAACAAATGTTCTGCTAAAATATCTGGCATTTGGTACCAGTTTGGATTCCCAGAGCTTGTATTATTATACGCATGCTGGTTAGTTCTTAATTGCCGTTTCCTGTGGGCTAAGATCCCAGGTTCATGGGGCTTCTGAGACTTGATGGAATTCCTTACTCGGCCGTGCCACAAGACACTGGATACGTTTAAATAGGATAAGAGGCATTTACTGCTTTCACTGGGTGCAAGGTTATTCTAGAATCAACTGTGCGCATGAGCAGATATTTGAGTAAAAGGGAGCTGAGGCCGTGGTAGAATTTGGTAGTTTATAGATATGCAATGGAATGATTAATAAACCATTGTGGAAATTCAGTAAGACACTAGTGAAAATATGGAACAATGAAAAATAGGAGAAAAATCTTTTTCACGGTAAAAGCTCTGAGATTAAGAGAATAGAAATTTTAATTCTGCTGTTTGGGAGTTTGCTTCCCACTTTGTGTTTCTGGGCATACTTTGCCATTAAGTTCATATCTACATACCCAATTCTTCACCCTCCTTACTATGTGAATAATATAAATATTATGAAACACAGCACCAGTAATTAAGCCTTCACAGTTAAGATGAGAATACATTAAATCTAAAATTTTATTGCTTTTAAATGATGTTAAAAATATTGATGACAAGTTATAATAAAACTGTTCAGATCTTCTAACATTGAAATAAACAAAATTGTTTTCTAAATCATGTGTTTGTTCATTTTTGTTTGAAGTAAAGCAAGTATTTCAAAGCATTTGCAAGTCCTTTCTCTCTGGATGAGCAATCGGTTGTATTCAGCCATTTTCAGAAACTCTGGAGTGGTTGGCAATTCTTTAAGAAACCTCTTGATCCTTTCTGAACGCTCTGAGACAGCTCTGGATATGTGACAAAGTTCTGGATCAGATGGTGAAAGGGCAGAAGATTCTGAGATCAGCTTGTGAAGATGTATAGAAAGAAGCCGAATGTTTATTAGCTTTTCAGCCCAAAAGTTTGCTTCCCCTTTCTCAAACAATTCGTCTTCCTCCTTGGGAGAAACAACAGGTTAGTACGTGTAGGTTACAACACAATAAATGTGTAAATAAATGCAGGACTTACACTGGTCCAATCTAGGGGTTTGGTGGGAGATGGGTTGGTTCTCACACAAAACTTACTTTTCAAATTCATTATCCTATTTCCAAGTCAATGATTGTTTTGCATGGTAGGATAGCAGATATAATGTATTTGTAGGTCATTATGTGAATAAAATGTACTGTAAACTAACAATAATACATTACAACACACACTAACAGAAATTGCCTATGTCTGTTTAACAAATAACATGCTCCTTTCTTTTTAATCAAACGTGAATACATGCTTCCCAACATTTCAAACCACTGAAGAGGGAGACTTATGTTTGGGGTGAAGGTGCAGAGGTGGGCAGAAGGACTCTTCTAGAGCATATCAGGTGACCACATTAACTACTGATGTCCATAATATTAAATGAAACAGCAGTTTATAGTAAGAGACAAGAACTTGTTTTGCACAATGCTTTCACATTGTTATGAGTTTTATAGCGGTGGAGCTCTGTGATACACTTCTATACAACAAATGTCTGATAAATTAGTATTGGTTTTATTGCTGGGGAGCTATCTGATTCACTTCTACACATCAAAATTTCGAATCTTCTAGAAAAAAAAAGTGGTCAGCAGATTTATCAAAGAGAGTAGCAACCAAACTACCAGGGCTGATAGGAATGGAAAGTCCGAATTAAACCGAAACGTCAACTTGCATGTCACCCACAGTGGACTAGAATTCCTTTAGGATTTAGCTCTCCAAGTGAAAGGAAATGTTTTGCGAGAGTTACAGAGAACACTCCAGTCACCATAACATATATATCTAAGTACGTACCTTTTTTTATAAATGGGGAGCTACTGACTGGCTTAGAGCGTC